TTATGACATGAAAGATCATGGAATCAAGATGTCTTTTTTTGGTGAATTGAATCAAGTTGTCTTTACTCTCTTGGAGTTTCGGATAGACAAGTTTTAAAATTATGGAATACTTTATTGGACGGCCCTATCCATCTTCCTTAGCCATTATTTAGTTATTAATACAAAAATTGGGGATTCGTATCGGGTCAGGGAATCTCATCGGTTCATCACAGATGACTTGTTTCAATGATCGAGTGGGAAAATTTTATAAAGAGGGTGAATAAAGCAAAATTAGGGGTGTTTAAAGAGCCGGTGGCCTATGACTTGACTCATGTAGACATGGTTTGGTGTGTGTTTTATTTATTGGATCCAGATTTAAATTTGTATAAAAAAATTATTTAATAAAAAAGCCTCATACTTCTATTCAAAAGTTTGGGTCTTAAAGCCTGTCAAGCTGGCCTACTAACTCTTTTTTATTTTATTTTTTATACTAACATAATTTTCACTTTCATTGTCGTGCCCAGCTCACTCAAGTGATAAGGAATTTGTAATCTTTTGTTCTTTTGGATATGCAGAATTTTGTACCACTTTAGTTTATTGGTTAAGCAGACTTCTTGAATAATTTTGTTCTATATTATGTTGTTTGTATATACATTGAATTTATGACTCATTGTAGAATTATCAGTACTGTTGGTTGTATATTCTGTTTCGATAATTTTTTGTTGTCTTACTTTTTTTAACAGGCTAAGCCAGACTTTTATTTTTTGTAAATAAGTCAGATCACAAGCCGATAATTATATCCATAACAGGTTACAGGCTAGGCCAATCTAACATATTTAAACACATGCTTAGCCTTACAAGATCAAAACTCGACTCGACTTGGTCCATTAACACCCCTAAGAATTATATTGTCTAGTTATTTAGTCTTTCTATCCTTATTATCTTTTTACTATCATTGATTAAATTTAAATCAATGGTGGAAAGATAGAGAAACAATTAGTTCAAAAATTATTATATTTAAGACCGTTGAATTAAACTCAATCAACGGTAATAAAAAGGCATTAAAGGTAGAAAGATTAAATAGGTAGGCAATATAATTATCCCCTTTAAACTTAGCAAAGTAAGTAGGTAACATGTAATAGGTTGATGTTAGCTAAATTTAAAAATTTCTCTAAATTTTATGTATATATAAGAAGGGTTTAATGTCTCTTATGTTGTAGGAGATTGTAAAGAACATTGAGATACACAACCCCAAAAGCTAGCTCAAAGGGTGGAAGTGCCTAGTACCTTATAAACTCCACATTAGTTGTTTATACAACCAATGTGGGACTATATATCTCGACACACCCCCTCACACGAGAGCCCATTGGGCTTGAAGCGTGAATATTGCATAGGCCCAATTTTTGGTTTACCTTTTTGTGCTTTTTTATTTAATTCCACTTGAAAGTGGGGGCGGTGAGGATCGAACTTGTGACCTTATAGTCACTCAAGCTATGATACCACAAGCTAAATCGATCCAGAAGCTGAATGACGATAAAAGAGAGAATGATCAGCTTCACTCTGAGTCATGCCAAATTGTTGAACAACACTGCTAAATTTACCAAACCAAACTCTTGGAGATTGCTTGAGGCCATATAGAGACTTACGAAGACGACAAACAAGACCTGACTCCCCCGAGCAACAAATTCAGGAGGTTGCTCCATATAAATTTTCTCCTCAAGATCACCATGGAGAAAAACATTCTTGATATCAAGTTGGTAGAGAGGCCAATGGCGAATAGCAGCCATGGCAATAAAGAGGCGAACAGTAGACATTTTCGCCACAAGAGAAAAAGTATCAATAAAATCCAATCCAAACACTTGAGTGAAACCCTTCGCCACCAAGCGAGCTTTAAGACGATCCACTTGACCATCAGGTCCAACCTTAACAACATAAATCCATCTGCAACCAACCACAGATTTTCCAGATGGAAGAGGAACCAGATCTCATGTTCCATTATGATGAAGAACAGTCATTTCATCAATCATAGCTTGTCTACATCCCGAATGTGAAAGTGCATCACCTGTAGTCTTAGGAACAAATACAGAGGACAAAGAGGAAAGACATGCAAAATATGTTGGAGAAAGACGATGGTAACTAATATTGACTGTATACCTGGCTGGAGGGAGAGTATCACGAGTACCCTTACGAAGAGCAATGGGAAGGTCACTATTCGAAGGTGGGACTGAAGCTGAGGGAGGAGATGCAGCTGAATGTGAGTCCACAGAAACATCTGACGAACTATGTTCGATCTCATCAGGAGAAGAGGTGATAGAAGGAGAGTCAGAAACATGGACTGGTAAAGATGGAAGGTATTCAAAAGAGTTGACTGGGAAAGATGACTGTACAGAATCAGTGTCCACAGGAGTAGTAGAGGATCCAAAAAAGGGAGCTGATTCAAAAAAGGATACATCTTCCGAGATAAAGTATTGACACCATAGAGTCTCTGTGTATCATTGGTGTGCAGTGCGTTTGCCTGACTCCAAATAGCTTCACAGGTATTAGCAGGTCGAAAAATCTGCTTAATTGACGGATAAAGAGTAATTTTAATGAGACTACACAACTGAGCATCAGTCATCTTCCATCGTGTGTGCTCATTGGCCGCCACAGATTTAGCCTTAGGGGTGAGATGGGATGTATAATTCTGCCCTTCCAACCAAAGTCGCAGATCAGATGACCAAGTATCATAGTTGGACCCATCCAATTTATCCACACTCAACGGAGCAAGGATATAATTTGAAAAAATAGTAGACTCCGACTTTTGGCCAGCCGGAGACTCAGAAACATTGGAGACATGAGAGTCCATAATCAAGATTAGAAAAATAATCAGAAAGACAGATCACACAACTAACCAGTAGAAGAGGGATCTGTGCGTGAACGCAAAACGAGGTCCAAACACAAAAACAAGATCAGATCTAGAACCGTCACAGGGAGAGGAGGAGAACGCAACCAGCTGCGGCCGGAAAGGATGCTCCACGCGCCGCCTGTTGGAGGAGAGTGCCATAGCTTTCACGCGCACGTGAAGGCGCGTGAGACGTCAACTGGAGGTGTGGCCGGTGCCGTTGTGATCGCGCTTCCAAGACGAGCACACTGGTATGCGGTTCGCCAAAAACTCCATCGGACGGTGGTGGTTGACGTGAGCAGAGGCTTGAATGCGGAAGAAAACGTATCGGAAACTGACAGCGAGACAGTTCCAGAAAAAAAAAAATTTAAAAGACGATGAATAGTGGGTTCACCGGAAAAAAAATTCAAGGTTCCTTAGGCTCTGATACCATGTAAAGAACCTTGGGATACACCACCCCAAAAGCTAGCTCAAAGGGTGAGAGTGCCCAAGACCTTATAAACTCCACATTAGTTGCTTATACAACCAATGTGGGACTATATATCTCAACAGAGATAAAATTATCTTCCTAACATAATAAATGGGAAGGTTATAGTTACTTCCTTTTTTTCTTACTACTTGTTACTACTAAATCTAACCGTGGATTTCCGTCAATCAAACGGTTATAATTTATTGGGTCATACTTATTATTTAATTATTAATTTCCAATAAATTATAACCGTTAGATTGAGAGAAATGAACGGTTACGATTTAGTAGTAACAAGTTGTAAAAAAGAGAGGTAGTAACTATAACCTATCCCCATAAGAAATAGTAAACCCATATAAAAAATAGGAAAATCATTTTCTCATGTTGTTGGAGATTGCTTTCTCATGTTGTGAGGCATCAAAATTCGTGCTATCTTTTTTTATTTTTTTAACAAGTGGTGGGACCTACTACTTGTTGTGTCTATAGCATGAGAGATGTTATCTCATGTGACATGAAAAAAGAGAAACCCTAAAAAATAAAAAGGACAAAAGCTCAAAGGCTGAACTTAAAGGGAAACAAATGTATACTAAATTATTTTTATCTTAAGTTTGAATATAGTGTAAGATAAAAATATGTATGAAGTTGAAGGGGCTAACGCTCCTCTAGCCCCTCTCTGGTTTCGCGGTTGCTTGCAGGTAGGGGTGTAAATGGGCTGGGTTAGGCTAGGCTTTGGCTTAAATAGGCCAAGCCTGTGTAAAAATATTGGGTATGACCTGGCCTATTGGCCTGTGTAGGCTCCAAATTACAAGCCTGGCCTGACCTATATTCAAAAAAAGAAAGACTTGGCCTGCTAGCCTGTTTAAGCCTATTCAACATTCAACAATTAAATGAATAACTAAAATAATATTATTTTATTATTCAAAATTATTAAATAATAATTTTATTTATTATATTTTAAATAAATAATATGATATAGGTCGGCCTGTAGGCTTATAGGCCCGACATGTACAAAAAAATGCCTATGGCCTGTTTTCCAAATAGGTTTTTTTAAAAGCCTATGCCTATTCTATTTTACTACTTATAATAGGCCAAGTCTGGCCTAATATAGGCTAGGTCGTAGGTCCCTGTAGGCTGACCTAACCCATTTACATCCCTACTTGCAGGAGAGATTAAAATTAGAATTAGAATTAACAAATTTTCAGATCAATGACTTGCAAAGTGATTGTATTTTATTTTATTTTTTAAAGTGGTTATCCGTAAAATAAATCTTTTCTAGAGAAACAAACATATAAAGCTCGTACAAGAAAAATCCGTTCCAAATCTGAGATTATGTGCGAAGTTTTTGCATGTATCACTTTCTCATCACTTTATATATACGGAAAAAAGATGTGTCCTTTTAGTAGCTTTATACTATATTTTATCGATAAGACATAATTATAATATAAAAAATTATTTTTGTTCTCTTTCCTCAACTGATGTAAAAAGTGAAAAAATGATATTTTTCGTATTATAACTATATCTTACATATATAAGATATAGTGTAAAACTATTAAAAGGACACAAATTCTGTGCTTTAAAAAGAACAAATATTAAACCGTATATATATATATATATATATATATATATATATATATATATATATGAAAATTCATACCAGTGAAAATTCATACCAGAGGACATATTTTCGTCCAAAGCACCAGCATAGAAAAAGCTGGCTGAAAGCAGCATTCTTGTTTGAGTCACGAGTCACCAAGCAAGCTATTCATAAGCGGGAAACCACTAGTTGTTGAGATAACTAGAAGAAAAATTATGGAGATTTTATATTCCCATTCTTAAAATATAGCTACCAAGAGAGGAAGGAAGCATGAAAAAGTAAAACCACCCTTTCTTGGTTTCATCCACAATGTTAATGAATTATCTAAAAGCCTGCAGGAAAACCACCCTTTCTGGGATCACTCACAGCCACAAGCTTTCCCATAACTTCATTTCTTCTGCCTGAAGGCTGAATGTCTTCTTGAACAATAAATTGGCAAATAGTCCCACCAGCAATGCCCTGTAGGACATGACCCTTACTTCTAAGGGCTGCCCTTATATCAGCAGGAAGTTCAAAGTGGTCACCACTCACGGTGGTCCAATTCTCATAATTGACCACATTTGGTATCAGCTGCACAAACCACATATATGGTGGTGAGTTTCTCAATCAAGTGTTGGATTGGCTAAGAGAAGCATGACCTCACTCACAGAAATATACAATCTCAAAATTAACAGTGGCTAAAATAAAGACTAATTATCAAAGGATAGGGTTATATTAACAATTTTATTTTTTTTACAAACTACACTATGTCTTATCGGTAATACTCTACTTAAGAATGTATTATCAGTCAGACATAATGTAATTTGTAACAGTTTGTAAATAAATTTTTTATAAATATAACATTTTCCATTATCAAATAGAGGCAGAGAAAACATGCAATTCAGCTAGAAAAATTTAAGATACAGTACCTGATGATAGACCCTTGGAGCCATTATAGAAGAAAAAGGATCCATTCCTCTTACAAAGTGATTCAAAAGAACCTCTGAAGTTCCACCAATTATCATTACTCCTCCACTTGCACCTACTACTGCTTTCAGTTTGCCATCCTGTACAGGCACGGACAGAAATTATTGCAAGCAGTGGTGGAGCCAAAGAGAGGTCAGGACCTCAAATTCATCAAACTTTATCTTAAATTACATTCAGACTTAGAATAAAGATTATGTAACATAAGTTTGTCTCCCTTTATTCTCATTATTTCTCATATACGAAAAAAATTTGAAGAGTTCTTCAAATCAGGTTAATTATTGTTTACTAAAATCCTCTCTTGAAGAAGCTTAACTTGGGTTGTCTTAGACATCAATCATTAAATTCTTATCTTGCAAAAAGGACTACCTTGAGGGCAATAGTTGGTGACATAGATGATAATGGACGCTTTCCTGGCTTAATAAAATTGGCAGGAGCTGGTGGGGGAACATCATTGGAAACATTTCTAGGCATGGAAAAATCATCCATCTCATTGTTCAGAACTATTCCTGTAGTTGGTGAAAGGATCTTTGCACCAAAATATGCATTTATTGTTACAGTCATGGAAATGGCATTGCGCTCATGATCTATTATGCTTACATGACTTGTACCATGATCATAGATCTGATTCCACCTGTAAAGAGGAAAAGAAAATTCAGCACAGCTGAGAATTGAGATTCCATGTTGGTAGTATATGTGTTGGCACTCTAGCACATAGGGGTGTAAAAAAAAAAAAAAACCAAATGAACTGAACCGTAAATTGATCCAAATTGCATCAAAAAAATTATATTTTTTTAATTGGTTTAAGAATTAAACAATTTTATTCAAACACTTTAAGAATCGAGTTGTTTTTTCAAAACCAATTCAATTCAAAAATTACACCACTTTACCAATTCCTGTTCAATTCAGGCTAAAAACAGAACATAACAATACCCATTTTTAGGAATATAAAAAAATCACCTGGTTCAATTCGGTTCAATAATTGGTTCATTCGGGTTAAACTTGATCCAATCTAATTGCCACTGGTTCAGTTTTAGGATTCATGATTTTTCAATGTGAACCCCTACTTGATCACCTGATCAACTTTTTATTTTTATTTCTAAACTTTCAAATCCGTGCATTTTATACTTTAGTAATTAAGTGTTTTCATGTCACTTTTTCATTCGTTCTAACATCTTCATCTAGTTCCCAAATCAAATGTCTTTAATTTTAATTACTATCCAACTTTGTCATTATATTTCGGGTAAGAAAATTAATTTTGTTGTTGTTTTGTTTTGGAGTTAACCCAACTCTAATGATCTCTTTAAGTCAAAAATGATATAGACATGTAACCACTATTATAAAATATAATATTACGATTCTTATACGTAACACTCACTTCCAATTTGGTATTTAAGTTTTTTTTTTTGTTATTGTTAGAGAATAATATAAACTATTAAAAAGGCTTTCATCTAATGCTTTAAGGTTTTGAGTTAAAGTGATTATTTATATGATATCAGAGTTTCAACAATTATAAGGTCACGAGTTCAATCCTCACCGCTCTCACTTTCAAGTGAAATTAAATAAGCACAATGTAAAACACAAAAATTTAGACATGTGCAATATTCACGCTTTAAGTCCGAAACACTTTAAAATAATATAAATCATTAAAAAAATTATCACCCAACACTTTAAAATTTTGAGTTGAATTTATTCTTTACATTTATAACTCTATAACACTGTGATGGCAATATTGAAACGTATACGGACTAAATTAAAGGATAATAACGCTGGCCAAATGCCTAAAGCACATATAGTTAACTTTATTATAGATGTATACACCTGCCCATTCACCATTTCTTTTTCCCATGCTTAAGTTGACTATATCATGATACAAATTCGTCACGTAATTGAATTCAATGAATCTTTTATATAATACAAATTTAACTAAAAACTCTAGTTCGTTAAGGATACACGCAAGTTATGGTTGATTAATTGTCAAAGGATTTGCTGCATTTTTCTTATCATTATGCTGAATACACTAAAACACATTTGGACTAGTGTGTGTGAAGTAAAAGACAAATATAGCATCTAAAGAATCTCATTAATTAGCAGAAGCATGAAGCTTTATAAGATAATAGTAGATTCTCTGATATAAAAAAGTGATAATGTGATTATATTATTTGATCATAATCACTCATTTAAAAATTATATATTTTTCTTTTTTTTATCTCATCATCATCGATGAGTAATTGTAATTAAATAATATTATCACATGACTAATTTTTCACATAAAAAAGATCCAAATATAATTGAGTATCTTAGTTTTGCATTAAATTAAGTGAACTTAGAAGCTTACCTGCCACCATAATGACGGGGACCAAAAGTCCCATTATCGTTGATGTCTTTTTTTAACACTTCAGCAAACTCACGCGAAAGCATATCAGAAACAACCCCAGTTACATTTACAAAATCAGGATCACCAAGATTCATTCTCACAGCAAATACATGTTTCAATGCTTCAATTTCTCGATGGATCCCAAGGGCACCAGAAAGGCCAGAAGGAAGCTCATACTGTGCAAGAATGTTCAACAACTGTAACAACAGAAGATGAGATTGGCTAAGTCCTTAACCAATGATAAGAAAGATATAACCAAAAAAACATAAGAAAACAGAGGAGACCTAAGTTAAATAACGAACCCAAATCACAATAAGTATATTTAACACTATCTCTTAACCTAAAACCTCGTGACATTAAATTTAGGATAAGATATTATCACTACCAAATAATATTACTATCAATGTCACTACCATATCTTAACCGATGATTTTTGCCAATCAACTGTTATCATTTCCACAAATCAAACTCATTAACTAATTATTAATTCACAATAAATGATAACTGCTGATTGACGGAAATCAATGGTTAAGATATGATAATAAGACTGGTAGTAACATTATTTGGTAGTAACAATATCCTATCCTTTAAATTTATAAAATTTTTTACTTATATAGTCTTTAGTTAGTTTATTATTAAGCTTAATTACACATTACTTATACTTGAATTTCAAAGTTCAAACAATAATAAAGTAGATAGGCTTACTAGCATCATTGGAGGCCCTCCTGAAGGAGGAGGCATGCCAAGGATTTTTAGTCCAAGAACATCTGTAGATATAGGTTCCTTTTGTTTAACAGTGTATCTTTTGAGGTCTTTCATTGTTAATATCCCTCCAGCCTTTTGAACATCTCTAACTAAATTAAGGCCAATCAATCCATCATAGAAGGCTTGTGGACCAAACTTCGATATTGTTCTTAGAGTTTCCGCTAGCTTCTTATTGTAGCATGTGTCACCAATATTCAAGATTTTTCCATTTGGTGCAAATACACTACGAAGACCCGTGTCTTTCAATATATCTGATTCTGATTGTTCCATCTGCAAGCGGAGGTATGGTGATATCTTAAACCCTCTACGAGCAAGTATCTCAGCTGGCTTTACAAGTCTCTGCCATGGAAGCTTCCCATGTTGTTTCCACGCCTTGTGAAGGCCAGCAAGTTGTCCAGGTACTGCTACAGAGAGGCCACCTTTAGCCTTCAAAGTAGTATTTCCAGCATACATATTCTGAAAAAAGTAGATATATCATATGACACAGATGAATTATTCCAACAAATTCTTCATAATGTTGGGAATTCAAGTATAAGGACAAAATTTCATACTTGTTTGAATCCATGATTACTACTCGGTCAAAGTTATAATTAGTAAGCGCGTACGAGAATTGAATACATAATTTAATATAATCTATCAAAATCTCCGTTACTAGACTAAACCTCTTTTTATTTAATCCTACGAGCCGGCTCAAGTGTAATGGTTTGATATGATTTTGACACAAAATGGACCTTGGTAAAGCATGATATTGGCCTCATCAACAATACTCACAATTATCAACCCAAAACCTAAAAAAAAAATGTCTATATCAATAAAAAGAAAAAAATGAGTTTTTTCTCTGTTTTTTTTTTCTTCTTCTGGAAACCATATATCATAATAAAATATGAAACTATATGAAAATAAATAACCCATCATTGAAAGAAATCATGGTTTAGATATGGCTAGGAAGGTTACCTCAGAAGCAAGAATAGGAGCAGTTTCTCTCATATCAAAGGCCTTTGCAACCCCATTAGATAACCTGAGAAGCATAAATGCTCCACCACCAAGGCCACTTGAAGCTGGACTCACAACCCCCAAACAAAGAGAAGCAGCCACAGCTGCATCCACAGCATGCCCTCCTTCACGGAGAACACCGATCCCAATCTTAGAACATCGACGGTCATCAGTGGCAACTGCTCCATTGTGAGCAACAATTACCTCATGTCTGCGTTTTGTGTGTCCATTTGTTGCATTGAGGCTTGAAGCAGAGCCCAAATTTGAAACAAGAAGAAAAGCAATGGCATACCATAATAACAGAGCTGCAGCAATTGATGTATCAAGGCATCATCAAAATTTGAATTCATCTAAATCCACCCCACAAGACATTGGTATATATGTATTTAACCAGAGACTACAGTCTTCGTAACAAGTGGAGTAGTGTGATCATGTTGGAACATGTATATCAGAATTTCAGATTCACTATAGATCCTAAGAATAACTAATGTCATTATTTGAGGATAGAGTATAATTAATAACATAATGGAAATAATTTCGGGGTGGCAAAAAAGAAAGTGCATACATATAAGAAGGACATGGATTTGATATATAAAAAAGAAAGTGGCAAAAAAAGAATACCAATTGATGGAAGGAGGCGAGACATTTGAGTCTCTGCTGAGGTTGCAGTCAAGAGCGTTGCTGGTCAAGCCTTGGAATAATGGCCGGCACACAAAGCTAACTATAGTGTTAGATATTTATATACTATCGAATATCTAGGAATGTGCAAAACATAGGACAAAGGTATAAATGCTAGAACGACTTTTTTTAATGCTTTCTTTATGATAAATTTTCACATTGGCTTCGTTAATAGAGGGTGAGCGTCCATCATTAGTGGAGAGTGGAGAGTAAAGATTTTATCTAATAATAAAGAATATTATTAAGAGACTTTAGATAGAGTATTATTACTATTTCAAAAATGTATATCTATGGTTCATTTTTCTAAAATGTCCTTTTTTTAATAGTTAAATTAAACTAAAGGTTTATTATCATTTTTATATCTATTTACATATAACATGTAATTTTTATTATAAATAAATTCCTAATTATAATACTAGCTTTTTATTTTATTCAACATGAACCCAACTCGAGAAATACTACTTAAAAAGTCGCTTTCGAATATTTGGCACACATAATATTAATTAAACAGCATAAACCCTTTAAGCAGTTTGACAAAATAAGACGTCAATACAATTTTAAAGCCATGAAAAGGCAACGATAAGTTTTTTATTTTTGGAGCATTATCACAGTTCTAAATTCTAATGCCGTGACCGTGACGCAAGAAACTAAAAAATTCAAATTATGTATCCATAAATAAATGAGAAATGTTATTCTTATCTATGAAGCACCGACACTTCAAAAACTCTACGTGTCGTGTTCGACACTTTCCGACACTCTTCGACACTTTGACACTCTCCGACACTTCAAAATGTGTTATAGAAATTTAAAAGAAGGTTCAAAAGTTGCGTTGCGTTGAGTTTTTAGTTCCAACTATTAGATTCGTTGGATTACGATTACCATTTTATTGAGTTTAATATAAATATTTGGGATATCTTATGTTTCTTTGCAAAATTGATGAATATTATAAGTTTAGTTTTATTTTTTTGTTAAATTATTGAATATTAAATATAATATACACTGTATAAATTAAAAATATTATTTAATATCAAAACGTGTCCTAACGTGTCGAAATCTAAAATTTTTTAGAATTAACGTGTCGGAGTGTCGTATCGAATCGTGTCACGTGTCCCGTGTCAATATCGGTGCTACATAGATTCTTATAATATAAAAATATAAGAACCTCTTACAATTTATATTATGATTTATTAAATCATATTTAATAATTAATTAATAATTTCTACAACTCTTTTTTTTTTAATATTTTATGGAGTCTACCACATTTTGTATCTATAATAAAAGAAAAAATCTCCTATAATAATGCGAGTGAGCCGCCTTCATGCTTGAATTTTTTCTCTGATGAACATAATATATTGAGTTTTATTCTGTCCTTCGCAATGTTAATAAAATTAGATTGGCCTGGTCGGGTCAATTCGAAAATCGGTAAATTGGTTATATGATTTGTTCGGGTGAAGCAATGAATTGGTCATACATTAAAAAAAAAAATTTCAAAAAAAACTCATAATGGACATATTTGAGTATTTTTTTCTTATTGACTTACATATGTTATGTACCTACAACACCAATATTATCTTAATTATGTACTATGCAGAAAATTTTGATTTGATTTATAATTAGAGATGTTGTTTACTGAACCTGAAACCTGTATCACGATCATTATATTTTTGTTTGATCTTTTATTGAATAATAATGTGTGATTTATTATTTTTTATATTAAAATATTTAATTTTTTTTTAAATATTTAAATATATTTATAATTTTTTAATATAAATTATAAAATTATATATAATTATCGAATCATGTGATTCAACTAATAATTTATTGGATAGTTAATAAACGGACCGATTTAATAATATTGGTCCTTCGTCCTTTATATTATGTTGCTTTATAAGTCATTAATTAAATTTTGTTTGTTGGTTAGTGCAAAGTTCCATCAAACACCTGTCTTTTTTGAATCATCTCGAAGACATCCTAAACTGTTTTTTATTTTATTTTATTTTTTAAATGTTGCCAAGTTGCTGGCAACTTTTCTTTGCCAACATGAGTGGTTGAGAAGAGTGATCGATGTTCGTTGGTGGGATTTTTTAAAACCGCTACAGTACCACCATCTCATTGGGTGTTACTTTACTCAAAATGATAAAATATGATTTTATTTAAATTCTTTTTATTTATTTTTCAAATTCTCTTTCAATCTCTTCTTTTTTTTCATTTTTGGCCAGAACCATGATGCACTGGGCGCACTAAAAATATGCTCTCGTTGGTGATGTGGTCCTGCACATTATGCAGTAATCGGACCATCAAATTTAGAAGCAAACTTACGTTATTCCGGATAATATTCTCTTCAAGTCATTTATATATCATTAAATAACATTATTTTTTCACCTTTTCCTTATAATTAAAATTACTGGTCTAACTTACTTCATATAAATGGTCCAGCTTATTACTCAGAGCGAGATTTTTTTTTAATGTAACTTATCATAATCTCTTATTATTAGAACAATCTTAATGGCGTAAAATTTTTTAAAATGTACAAGTAAATATATATTTTAAATTTTAGTTCATTAATATCATAACACATATTAAATTAAGGGATAAATAAATCTCATGGTGTAGGAATAGTCATCTCTCATGTTAGTGAGAGCTCGATTTCCGTGTTAATATTTACTTTCATTTTCTTTTTTTATTTAAATTAGTGGGCCCACTTGATTGTGTGTGTAGGAAAAAAGTTCCTCTCATGTTGCATGAGAAAATGCAAGCCCTTAAATTAAATCAACACTATATAAGTATACTTTATAAATAATTTTATTTATAAAATTTATTCAAATTATGATATGTTTTTCAGATTAAATATAAAATTTCATTTATAAATATGAGGAGAGATATTTTCACTACCAAAAATTTTTACTACCAACTTACTACCTATCTAATCACCATTAGATTAACATTTTTTCTCTCTTTAAAACTTTTTAACATTCTCTCCTTGAATCCAATGGTGATGTGATTAGTAGTTAGTTAGTAGTGAGAATTTTTGGTAGTTAGAATATTCTCGTAAATATATTATTCAAATTTTTATGAAAATTTTGTGCGCCCTTTCGTCTGTGACTCGCAACTCAACGCACAACCTCATCTGCAAGCTCCGGTGAACGGCGACATTGGCTACGGTTGAGTCAGTTACTTTTCTCTTCTCTTCATTTTCCTTTCAGTTCTCTTGCTTTCTGCTACTCAACACTTTATTCTTTCGATGGATTAGGGTTTTTGCACTTTTTCCACACCAAAATGCCAAAGCGTAGAGCCAAGAAAACGGTTAAAGCAACTACTGAATCAGTGCCTGACCCCAAGGAGCCTCAAAATGAAACGCAGCAGCAACCTCAATTCATGGACCTCGAAATCGAAGGTTATATAGATTTGGGATTTCTCGTTATTTTTTCGTGAATTAAACAAAATTGCAAAATCTGTGTCAATTTTCAATTGGATTTATGTGTCGCAGTTGAGCGACAAATCGGTGCGATTAGGGCAGTTCGGCATGTGGAGATTGAACACTTGCTGACGGAGTTGCGATTGCTGAGGTCATGGTTCAACAAGGAACAGCTCCAGAAGCCCGTGTTACAGGTTTTCGAAGAAACCCTACCGGACCTCTCGATTGTGAATGATGAAGGGAACAAGAAATTTGAAGTGAGATGGAAAGAAAATGGGAGTAGATTTGGTGATGGAAGAGATGTGCATGCTTCTTTGCTTCAAAGGTTATCCATGGCTTATCCTGAATGCTCTGCTTCAATTCCTCCTTTTGGTGGCTTTGAATATTCTACCAATACAGGTATTATTTGCTTTATCATATGCAAACACTTGAAAAATGATTTATTTATTATATGTTACTTCTTTGGTTGCAGGGAGAACAAGCTTTCTTGGCGCTGATGATCTGCATTTTAAGGACATTGTATGTGTTCTTTCTTCTCTTTGCTTCAGTACTCAGATCTTACATACTCTAGCTAAGAATAGGAATACTTTATTCATATTACATTAAAAAATAAAGAAGTTGATGGAATAAATGCATATAAGTATTTTATGTGTTTCTAATTTTAGTTGGTGTAGCACCTGAAAATTTATCCCCTTTTCAAGGACCTTTGGATCACTTCCATGGGACTAGCAAATGCATGCTGGAAGTGTAGATACATATGATGTGGTACACAAATAAGACACAACACGGCTAGGATATTACATATAAGGTTGATTTAATAGTAATATAAAAACACAAATCCTAACATTAAATAAGGATTCAATGTTTCGTAAACTAGCATTAGACATTAGTAATGATTTTTTGTAGAGTATGTGAGCATTTGTGACAGAAATGGTTTTAACCTTTGCAAGAGGAGCATTACTTTTGCACATCCATTCTTATTAAAATCTTGGCCTGAAGTATCCGTGAATTTGAAAGGATAAGTTTTCGCTTCTTTTTATGACTAAATGTCTCTTATATAGGTTTTGGAGGAGCCATGTGAAACTCAGACTCTGGCAATGCAAGAAGCTCTCCTGACTCCCGGTGTCCGTATCTTCTTCCTACTTTTTGTTTTTAGCGAACTCTGATATTTCTTGCTAAGGATGTCCAGATGGCTTTTAATTCTTAAGTTAAATAGCCGGAGAGATTAATTTTGCTCTTAATGCGTTTTGCAGGTGAGTAGTCAAAGGTTGTCTGTTGGGATGACACCCAAAACAACACTTAGGCTGCCGAAACCTGGCGAGATGCTTCTCTCTGTCCATGGATCACCGCTTGGTGTTTACAAGGAACATAACATGGAGGCCATACATGGTATGAAAAAATGTTTAAGGTTAAAGTTAAAATTATTTTGGTATCATGTTCATGTTAGTGGTTTCCTTATTGCATAAGAGGTGGTAACTCCTCTTATCTAACATTTGCTTGCTTCCCTGAAACTACAGACTACCTACCTTAATGCTCTCCCTATGAGTATGCCTTTCTGTTCTTCACCAGATGAAATAATGCAAATTTCTCTGGTTCTGATATCTATTCTGA